CTTGGCGAGGTGCAGATGTTGCGGTAAAGGAAATAAATTTAGACGATCGCGAAGCCCCGGAAATGCTGAGAATATTTGAACGTGAATTGATGGTAGTAGATCGCGGGTTCAAATTCTGGCAGGGAGTGCAAAAAATAAAAATTTTGCGGAAGTTTTTTTCGAAAAAAAAATTCATAGGTAGGCAAGGAGGGAATCAGCGTGGTGAGCTTATGAGTGGGCTGAGTAGAGGTCTCGGGTTCGATCCCGGGTGAGGGCATTTTTCGGTATTTTTTTATCACTGCTAGGGTTGGGGGTACTGTATAATTTTCAGAAGCGAGATTTTTGTATTTTGTGGATTTTTCGTGATTTTCTGCTTTCCATTCGTTATTGATAATTTTCGATTTTTTTGAGAGGTTCGCAACGAACGATTTAGGTCAAAATTTGACTTTTATGAGAAATTTTCGCCTTGTGTGGAAAATGTTAGATGGTTTTCCGCAAAATTTAAATATGGTTTTACGTTGCGGAGTAAAATTCAGTGTAAATATAGATTTTTTGAAAGTGAAAAAAAATAAGGATAATTTTACGAAAAATATTTGTATTTTACATTCTGCACTTTGTATTGTGCCCAGTATTATAATGGTCATTGAAATTGAAATTATAGAGAATTCGACATTTGATATTTCGCAAGGATTTTGGGAAAATTTACGGAAAAATGAAGATTTTCCCAAAATCTGTAAAAAAGTACGGCCGAAAATTTTTTATTTTCTGAAAAAAATTGGGAAGCATTTTTTTTTCTTGAAATTTCCGAAAAATTTAGGATTTTTTAGGTTATGTTGACTTTGCGGCATCCTAATGTTGTTTTGCTGGTTGGAGCGCAGACTAGGTTGAAGCCGTTGAGAATACTTACGGAATTTTGGTAAGGGGGAAAGTGAGATAATCGATCACGTGATCGATTTAGTTCTGGCGGGTGTTTATATGATTTACTTCATGTGAGAAGAGGAGTTCAGCTGAGTTGGAAACAACGAGCGGTGGGCGGAGCGAAGCGGATTTTGAGAGCGTATCTTAGGTTGCTCATTGGAAGATATGGATCATGTCCGTTTTTGTACCGTGTGAAATAAGACGTGAATGAATTTCTGAGTGTTGAGGAAATCGATCAGCTGATCGATTTCATTATGTTATTGCTGCGTTCATCAGGTTATGATGTTGGACATCGCGAAAGGTATATATTTTATGCATTCAGCGCGACCACCGGTGGGGATAATTTTGTGGCGCGTGACGGAATTTCGCTTCGCTCCGCCTTTTTTGATAGGTTATTCATAGGGATATCAAGTCGTTGAATCTCTTACTAGAGCAGCCCGTGTGGGTCGTGAGTGGACCTATTCCGTATCTTACATGGTTGAACCTAAGATACCACCAGGAGGATCCAATACGTGTTAAGATTGCCGATTTTGGAACTGCTCGATTGGAAAAGGAAGTCGCAGCTGAGCTCACTGAAGCTGCTGGTGAGTAGTTTCGAGGCGCAGTGACGGTGAGAGAGGCGTATCTTTAGGTTGAGCGAGTGGGATACGAAATAGGTCAGGTACGTTCCACTGGATGGCCCCTGAAGTTTTACAAGGAGAAGTTTATGATGAGCGTTGCGATATTTATTCTTTCGGGATAACATTGTAGTAATTTCGTGGCGCAGTGACGGAATTTATGTACCTCTTTTGGGCCTATTCTGAATCTTATTTGCTGTAACCTCAGATACGAGATCATCACTCGAGAGTTGCCGTTCAGGGACGCTGAGATGTCGGGAATGGCGGTAGAAAAACTAATAATTTCGTGGCGTGTGACGATTTTTTTTGACAGAAATTTGTGTATTTTACGGAAATTTCTCATTTTCCGTATATGTGAAATGGGAATTTTATAGATTTTCTGAAAATTTTCCGCGGAAAAGTTCGTGGAGATGCTTATGAAAAATTTCGATTAACAAAGTCTGATCAGTTGAGTTTAAAAATTTGAGAGAAAAAATCGGAAAAATTTGTTTTTTT